GAGAGAGAGAGAGAGAGAGAGAGAGAGAGAGAGAGAGAGAGAGAGAGAGAGATTGTAGCAGCAACTTTTTTTTTTTCTTTTTTTTTCGCAAGATGATGTATGCTCCTTTCTTCATTTCTTTCATCAAATGCCCCTTTTCAGGTGTAAATTAGATACAATGTGTATATTTACAACTTATATAATGTATAACACACGAATGTATATGCATATAAGTATATGTTGTCCGATATTCCCTACCTACCTCCTCATCACAACTTCATCATGGCAAGTCATGTCCTCGCTTAGATGACCTAGTTTGTTTGCCATTCATCGGATGGGGAACTTGCACCCGTCTTGGTGCCCAGGATGGCCGCGTATGCATTCTGAACACGGAGAGTCAGAAGGAAGACTGGAGCACTGGAGGTGGGCATACGGAAACCATCTTTGCCTGTGTGTTCAGCCCAGTAGATCGAAACGCTCTTGCCACGGGTTCTTATGATGGCAGTGTCCGTCTCTGGGAGTTGGACCCAAGCTCATACACCTGCCGAGCCGTCATTCCGGGTAACATTGGAGTGATATATGGCATCTGCTGGAACCCAACGGGAAAGCTCATAGCAGCTGCATCTGCTGAAGGAAAGGTAATGGCTAAACACCAATGTTGTGAAGTATACTAGGGTGGTGGTTTACCTTCACTCACTTGTAAAATACTCCAAGGAACTATGGTTAAGTGGTGGTTTACCCTCATTGACTTATAAAATACTCCAAGGAAGTCGAAGGAACTATGGTTAAGTGGTGGTTTACCCTCACTGACTTAATATAAAATACTCCAAGGAACTATGGTTAAGAAAAGTCTTTGCTTGATTGGGCGATCAGAACCTCACCCGGCCATGGAAAAGGTCCGATGCTATTTGCCAGGCAGGCACTGTTGTATAGCGAACAAACGGATGGATGGTGGCACTTTCTGCTTCAGGTGCAAAGGGTTGGGAGGTGGGGGTTGGGGGTGGGTAATGATGAACGGGCCATGGTCCATATGGTCTGCAAGACTTAGTGTGAGTACTAGGGTACTACCCTCTCCTCAAATAGTGTCCATTCACTGGAATGTGCTTCTTGATATCAGACAACATCATCCTATGCGAATCAACTACTTGAACATACCTTCATTGCAGTTGTCATGGGACTCATTCCATTTGAAGCAGAGTCCTACCATAACCTATGAAATCACCACCAGCATTTTCCACAGAACAGCCAGCACCAACATTATGCTTACCGGTCATCTCGCGGCCCAGTTCCGCCTTCAGCGCTCGGTGAGACAAAGGGATCCCATCACCCCGATGCTATTTGTCCTCGTCATGGAGGCCCTGGTGGCGGTGATAAGATCAAACCCCCAGATCCAAAATATCTATGTGCTTGAGATCCCTGAGAACCTCATCCCCGAAACCTCGCTCTTCATTGATGATCTCACAGTCTTGTTTAGAGCCAATGCACAAAGTTTCCAAGTGTTGCCACATACCATTCGCCTCTTCGAGATCGCGGCGGACATGAAGGTAAAGTTGGGAACCAAAACGGAAGGCTGGTGGCTCCACTGTCATGACGTACAACTGCCGTTAGATCCTCCGGTTGTGTGGAGAGAAAAGAACGCATCCATCATAGTATTGGGGGTCAACCTCACGGCTATTGGTCCGTCGCCAAACCATGGGGACGCGCTCGTAGACCTCGTCATACAACGGATGACACGATGAAACTCTAAACCGACTTCCTTGGTTGGTCGGGCTCTTGCAATCAACAAGTCCATCTTTGCCTCCATTTTGTACAAAGTGGCTTTCTGGCCGCTAACTGAAAAACAGCTCACACAGCTTAGACAGGCGATTGCCGCCTATCTTTGGAAAAATGATCACAGTGACACCCGCTGCATAAAGCACCTACCTTGGGAGGTGCTTGTCCAACTAAGGAGTAGAGGGGGGCTGGGTATTATCGACTCAGGCAAGGAGATCAGAGCGCTGGTGATCAAGTTCCTCACTAGATTGCTCCTGGGAAATGGCATCCCATGGGCTCCCTACAAACTAATCCAGATTGCCCGCCTTGCCTCGACTTCGCCGGTGGACCGCCCAGTGCGCCCCCTCTACTAGCTGACCAACCCGGCCTGGACCATTCCAGCTTGCCCACGTGCGGACTCGGACCGCTTCCTACCGGGCCAAGCAAGATGGGACCTACATACAGACCCCATGTGGTCAGCGATGTTGCGCTTATGGAGGGATCATGGCCTGAAAAGGACACCGGTGCCGCTCAAATCGCACAAAATCAGAAGGCAATCCTTATTTGGCCATCCCCAACTCCTGGACCACACAGGGTCACCCTTCTCCCTTAACCGTAAGTCTAAATGGTTGTAGACTTGCAGTGGGCCAAGAAGGGCATTTATACAGTTGGGGACCTGTGGAATGACAGCGCAACAGCCTGGCACAGTGACACTCATGCGAAACAATCCGAACCACGCTGGGCTCGTCTCCCAACTTGGAGCAAGATTTGACAGAAATCCAGGAAGCGGTTCATTTGGCGTGGGTGCTTGCCTGCGGGAAGGCCCCAATAGAATTAGAGGGGAATGGGTGGTACACATTGAAACACTGCACCTGCCCATGGCTGTCTACAGGGTGGACCAGGTGCTATCCCCCACTTCCCTGCAACTCATGGCATACACTCCGCTTCTACCGGGAGCAAGATGGTCCGTGCTCCAAAGGATGGAACAACTCGATGCCCATAGCCCACCTAACTCACCCATCTGGTACTAGACAAAGAAGAGACTTTCTATGCCTTCGAACCAGCTATCCCCCTCCACCTCCCTTTTGACCCGGCGGAATGGGAATGGAAGTGGGGGAAAACCTCAACAGTGTACCCATGGCAGTACTCTGTCAAAAAAGTGTACAGGACAATGCGAAAGCACATTCCGGTCATCGATACCATCCTCAGACGGTGGGACAGAGACTCTGCTTTAAAGCGCACAGACCTCCGCACCTTTAGGTGGTCGGCCTACCCCCACATTAGACCGACCAGCCACAGAGCACTTCAGTGGCAGATTATCCACAGGTGCCTGCCCACCCCTGATTGGCTGACAGGAAGAACGACCTCGAACAGAAAGGAATGTTGTTGCCTCTATGCACATTCTGTGAACTCGCCCCCCCCAGAAAACGAGCCACCCCAGAGCATTGTCTACTAGATTGGCCATGGTGGCTCGCCTCTGGAGGTGGTGGGATGCGGCCTGGCACTACTTTACTGGTCAACATTTCCCATGGGATGTGGGGACTATCCTCTTAGCAGTCCTTCCCCCTGAAGGAACTGACTGGACGCAATTTATGCTGAATCTGTTCCAGTACTCTCGCTTGGCTCTGCTCATGACAGCATGGCGGATGAGGTGCTCCCACGAGAGGAGACAACACACATTCGGCTTTATACAAGCGAGAGCAGTAATGGCTGACACAATACTATGCCAGACACAATCAGCCTGGACGAACTTACAAACGAGGCTCCGAAACGAGTCGGAAGAGCCCAAGAGGCGACAGCTGCTGGACAACTTCAGGGCTAAATGGGTGGACCCGAATTGCAGGTTATGTATTGGACCAGTCCAATAACCTGCAATGGCAACCATGGCTGTCCACGGACGCCCAGTGCGAGTTCCTCCCGCAAGATCACTTCTCTCTCCACTTCCAACCTACTGATTCATCCTCGTGCCCGATGTCCCGGTCTTTTCACAGCCCTAGATATCTCTCTAAACCCCTAAACCCTCTGGCCCCCGCCTACACCTGCCCCCCCTCTCCTCTGCCGGCCGGGACTGGTCTCCCAGAAAGACGAAGAGCACAGTGCAAATGCAGCCTGGACATCGACAGGGTTGAACAACAACTCATCCGCTGCATATCTACATCTGATAGGATCAGTCTAGCAATGCAATGACTCACACTGTTCAATGTACCACAAGAAACACTAAGGAACACTCTCAACCACACTTCACACCGCATATTGTAATATGGCACAATGCACCCGAGTTCCACGCAACAGCACATGCACAGTTTACACAATGGCACAGCACAAGACAAAACAAGACACGACAACAAACAGACACAATACTCCTGACCTCCACACAGCAGCACATACACACTGAACACTCAGGAACACTCTCAGCCACACTCCACACAGCACATTGCACTACAGCACGATTCACCTGAGTTCCACACAACAGCACATATCCAGACACATTTTACACAATAGCACAGCACAAGACACAGCAACACACGGCAACAAATAGACCGATGGTGATTGAAAGTCAACAGCTTATAATTACAACAGTGGACCCGGTTACTTGTAGGATGCTTTAGCAAAATCAGGACTGGCAGAGGCTGGGCCGCTCACCGCCCAGCCCTCATGCACATAGTCCCTTCTTGTTCACACTGCTTTCATTGCTGTCATTGTACTCTACAGGGACGCTGGACCTGATTTCCAGCAGGTGCTGCTCCCCACCAATAGATGGAACCTCCCCGAGAGTGCTAGTGGTGCCTGCTCTTATCAGCACCCCTAGCAGCCGCTCAGGCTGTTCTTTAAAAAAGAAGAAGAAGAAGAAGAAGAGAATATGCATTAATTGCCATCACCTTCTCAACCGATTAGAAATTTGAAATCCACCATCATCCTTTGATTACCTGACCTTTCCCCAGAACTGAGTGCTCAACGCTGCGGCTCATTCGCAGAGGAGAGCACCCTACAGCTGGTGTTCTGAAGTATGTAAAAAATACAGAAGACGATGCTATATCAGCAATTCTGGCCTCCTTCAAGAACAACTCCCACTGTCTTAACCCGAAAAAAACGTACGTACATTCTATTCAACTTACCTCAAAAAAATGGGCTTTCCGAAATCGCTGAGTTTTTCCCGAATAGAATGTACCGTCGAATATAACGTACGCACGTTGTATTCGAATTTGTGCGAATTTCATTTTTTTTTTTAAATCAGAAAATTCTGAAAAAAACGAAAGTTGTACAACATTGCAATACAAGCAACTTTTGCCTGAGGGTCATGTCGAAATTCACAACCGAATTTGAGAAAAAAAACTAAAAACAAGAATAAAAATACCTTTTGAGTCTTGACAACATTTTGCAGTGTTTTCTGATTTTCGATTTTTCAAAAATAATCCAAAAAAATCTGAAAAAAAAACTATGTTGTGCAGTGCCCGATTGCTCAATACATATGGAGGTGGTGGGATCGGATCTGGCGAAAACTAGACCCAGACACCCCCTGGCCCTGGTCATGGCAAGCC